TCTAGCCTCTGACCTGCTCATGTAGACACAGTTTTTAAATAGTTGTTGCAGTTCAGGTTCTGGTCTGTCCTCTGATCTAACTCATGTCTGCAGCAAGGAACAGAGGTCTACAGCATGAAAACAGCCTCCTCAGCCCAACTTTAAGACTCAATACCTTAACTATTTAGGTACCATAAAAGATACAATCCTCTCTGTCCCTTCTCTCTGAATATATCTTGTGACCCGAACCTGCTGCTGGTACTGAGACTCCCTTGCTCGTGTGGAAATGGGTTGTCTGAAGTTCGGGGTTTGGATTTATTTTCAAAGCTTTGATCACATGACCTCCTGCTGCACAACCCCCACCTCAGCTAAGTGCATTTGTGCCAAATGGATTACAGCAGTTCATAGTCAGCTGCCATTGGTCATATCCGTAGCTCACCCTGCCTTCCTATAATCAATGGGACAATGAACTGATTCCTCTTACCCCAGTTGGACAATACTGGACTTTGTCAAAGCAGTCCACATTTTTCTCGTTGCGAATATTTTTCACAACTATGAAGTAAAGAAACAAGAACAAAAGGAACAAAGAAAATTACAGCATAGGAACAAGCCCTTCGGCCCTCCAAGCCTGCGCCGATCCACATCCTCTATCTAAACCTGTCGCCTATTTTCCAAGGATCTGTATCCCTCTGCTCCCTGCCCATTCATGTATCTGTCTAGATACATCTTAAATGACGCTATCGTGCCCGCCTCTACAACCTCTGCTGGCAACGCATTCCAGGCACCCACCACCGTCTGCGTAAAGAACTTTCCACGCATATCTCCCTTAAACTTTTCCCCTCTCACCTTGAAATCGTGACCCCTAGTAATTGAATCCCCCACTCTGGGAAAAAGCTTCTTGCTATCCACCCTGTCTATACCTCTCATGATTTTGTAGACCTCAATCAGGTCCCCCCTCAACCTCCATCTTTCTAATATAAATAATCCTAATCTACTCAACCTCTCCTCATAGCTAGCGCCCTCCATACCGGGCAACATCCTAGTGAACGTCCTCTGCACCCTCTCCAAAGCATCCACATCCTTTTGGTAATGTGGCGACCAGAACTGTATGCAGTATCCCAAATGTGGTCGAACCAAAGTCCTATACAACTGTAACATGACCTGTCAGCTCTTGTGCTTAATACCCCGTCCGATGAATGAAAGCATGCCGTATGCCTTCTTGACCACTGTATCCACCTGCGTTGCCACCTTCAGGGTACAATGGACCTGAACACCCAGATCTCTCTGTGCATCAATTTTCCCCAGGACTTTTCCATTTACCACATAGTTCGCTCTTGAATTGGATCTTCCAAAATGCATCACCTCGCATTTGCCAGGATTGAACTCCATCTGCCATTTCTCTGCCCAACTCTCCAATTTATCTATATTCTGCTGCATTCTCCGACAGTCCCCTTCACTGTCTGCTACTCCACCAATCTTAGTGTCGTCTGCAAACTTGCTAATCAGACCAGCTATACCTTCCTCCAGATCATTTATGTATATCACAAACAACAGTGATCCCAACACAGATCCCTGTGGAACACCACTGGTCACAGTTCTCCATTTTGAGAAACTCCCTTCCACTACAACTCTCTGTCTCCTGCTGCCCAGCCAGTTCTCTATCCATCTAGTTAGTACACCCTGGACCCCATGCAACTTCACTTTCTCCATCAGCCTACCATGGGGAACCTTATCAAACGCCTTACTGAAGTCCATGTATATGACATCTACAGCCCTTCCCTCATCTATCAACTTTGTCACTTGCTCAAAGAATTCTATCCAGAAATGGAAAAGAAATCAGATTTATCATAAAATTTTGTCTATAATTTTTCATGGCATTAACTTTACATCCTGGCATTTCTAGGGCATTTTGCTGAGTCATTCAGGAGTTGGAACCTCCTCTTGAAGACTTTCAGACTAAACTGCAATAAAACAGCTGACCGGAGAAGTTATTCTCTCGCCAAGATGCTCAGCTTTGTATCTAGAGCAGTCTTTCTTTCCATTCGTATTTTACTAGTGCTGCTGTTCTTACTTCAGAACTGAAACAATCATTCCCCTTTAACTCAACTCTACAATTGCACCTCAAAAATTTTCATTTCTCCTGCTCCTTTAATGTACTTGGATTTGAATAAATACTTGAAAGGCAAGAACTGTCATGAGGAAAAGAACGTAAAGAAATAAGTCTGACTGAGTGGCTTTCACATAGTTAAGATCGTCTGAAACATCTCATTCTGAGTTGTAAGATTTACCAGGATGTTGCCAGGTATGGAATGTGTGAGTCGTAAGGAAAGGCTGGATGGTGTGGGACATTTTTCATTGGAACGTAGGAGCTTGAGAGGTGACCTGATAAAAGTTTATAAAATAATGAGAGGTATAGGAAGAGTTGATGGTAGTTGTCTTTTCCCTAAGATGGGGAATTTAAAGACTAGGGGGCAAATTTTTAATGGTGAGAGGAGAGAGATTTAAAAAAGACAGGAGAGGTAAATTTTTAGCACAGAGGGTGGTTTGCGTGTGGAATGAACTTCCTGAGGGAGTGGTGGATGTGGGTATAGAACATAGAACAGTACAGTACAGTACATTACAGTCCCTTCGGCCCACGATGTTGTGCCAAATTTTTACTCTAAACCTAAGGTCTATCTAACCTCCACCCCTACCTTATACAATCATCCATATGCCTATCTAACAGCCGCTTAAATGCCCCTAATGAGGCTGACTTTACTCCCCTCTCCAGCAATGCATTCCACGCCCCTACCACTCTCTGAGTAAACAACCTACCTCTGACGTCTCCCCTATATCTACCTCCACTCACTTTAAAACTATGCCCCCTCATAATAGCTACCTCCACCCTAGGAAAATGTCTCTGGCTGTCCACTCTTATCTATACCTCTGATCATTTCGTACACCTCTATCAAGTCACCTCTCATCCTTCGTCGTTATAAAGAGAAAAGTCCTAGCTCTCTCAACCTTTCCTCATAAGACCTTCCCTCCATTCCAGGCAACATTCTGGTAAATCTCTTCTGCACCTTTTCCAACGCTTCCACGTCTTTCCTGTAATGAGATGACCAGAACTGGACACAATACTCCAGATGTGGCCGAACCAGGCTTTTGTATAGCTGGAGCATAACTTCACGGCTCTTGAACTCAATCCCTCTGTTAATGAAAGCTAACACACCATACGTCTTCTTAACAACCCTATCCACCTGGGTGGCAGGTTTCAGGGAGCTGTGGACGTGAACCCCAAGATCCTTCTCCTCCTCCACACTGCCAAGCATCTTTCCGTTAATCCTGTAATCTGCTTTCAAGTTTGTCCTTCCAAAATTAATCACCTCACACTTTTCAGGGTACAATTACAATGTTTAAAAGACATTTGAATGGATATATGAATTGTAAAGGTTTGGAGGGATATGGGCCAGTAGCAGGCAGGTGGAACTAGTTTAGTTTGGGATTATGTTCTGCATGGACTGATTGGACCAAAAGGTCTGTTTCTGTGCTGTGTGACTCTATATGTCTGCTTCAGAGAAGACTGACTTAACTGACTAAACCAACAGACCATCAGAAGCCAAGGACTGATGGCTTTTCCCCAGCAATTTCAAAGTTATTCAGGTCAGACTTTCCTTTTATTCATTCACGGGATGAGGGTGTCGCTGGCTAGGCAGCATTTATTGCCCGTCCCTAATTGCCCAGAGGGCAGTTGAGAATCAATCACATTGCTGTGGGTCTGGAGTCACGTGGCGGCCAAACCAGGTAAGGATGGCAGTTTCCTTCCCTACAGGATGTTAGTGAACCAGATGAGTTTTTCACGACAATTGACACTGGATTCATGGTCATCATTAGATTCTTAATTCCGGATATTTATTGAATTTTCATTCCACCATTTTGGCATGGCGGGATTCGAACTCGGGTCACCCAGAACATTATCTAGGTCTCTGGGTTAACAGTCCAGTGACAATACCACTTGGCCATTGCCTTCCCCTATGATAGTGCCTGAATGCCCCTCCTTTTATTGGTGATGGTGAGCTGCCCTCTGGTACCACATAGGTGTTCAGGAGGGAGTTCCAGAATCTTGATCCTGAAAGGGGAGGCATTGGCTTAGTGGTATTTTCACGAAGTTATTAATCAAGAAACTCAGCCAATATTCTGGGACCTGGGTTTAAATCCCGACATGGCAGATGGAATTTGACTGCAACAATAACCTGATTAAAGAATCTATTGTTGACCATGAAACCATTGTCAATTATTAGGAAAAACTAGCTAATGTCCTTCAGGGAAGGAAACTGCCATCCTCACCTGGTCTGACCTACATGTGACTCCAGACTCACAGCAATGTGATTGACTGCTAACAGCCCCCTGGGCAATTAGGGATGGACAATAAATGCTGGTCTAGCCAGTGATGCCCACATCCCACAGGTGAATTTAAAAAATGCACTGAAGGAGCAGTGAGAAACTCCCAAGTTAGGACAGTGTAACTTGGAGGGGAACTTACAGGTGGTGGTGCCCCATTTAAATGCTGCTCCGTCCTTCCAGATGATACAGGTCATGCGTTCAGAAGATGCTGGTGAGTTGCTTCTTGCAGATGGCACGCACTGTTGCTGCAGAACATCAACAACAGAAGGACTGAATCTTTAAGGTGCAGGATAGAAAGCTGATTAATGGACCAGCTTGCCCTGGATACTTTTGGTAATCTCAAATGTGGAACTGATCAGTGTTGACCAGGAGTGCCACATTTCTTAAGCTTTGCTGACATCAGTTGTGAGCAGTGAAAGACCACTACAACTGGCCTCAGCATCCTGGGCTCAGGTTTGCTGTTTGTTCTCTTAACCTCAACTGAAGGCAGCATTAACTGCACAGTAGTGATTTCTGCCTTACAGTGCAACGTCCTGCCAGGGCTCAGTGTTTGGAACCTTTCTGACTGTACCCTTTGTTTCTCCACTGTCTCCCATACTGCCTTTGACTGATTTTTCTTGTTCTTTCTAACTCTGTAGCATTGAATGAGCCTACGATTGACTACGGATTCCAACGGCTACAAAAAGTCATTCCACGGCATCCTGGGGACCCTGAACGATTACCGAAGGTTAGATTTTTCTCGATGTGATCTTTCATTTATTAAAGAGAAATATTGCAAGCATTGTGGAAAGTGGAAGGTGATAACTATCCTCGCATCCTAGAAAGGCTGTCGGTGCATGAGGCAGTACAATGACAGGAATCAGTTGGGGTTCTGTCTTACATTGGAATAAATTGTGATGCATTGAGGTGAAGAACATTGAAGAGAATGATGCAACATTGCAGTGAATGATAATATACTGTGATGACAGAGAATGTTGGGTTGGAGGGTTGCATTGATAGTTACCTCACTCAGAAGACCATCATGTGCATGAAGGCTGCTTTCCAAGGATGAGTGTAAGTTTATGGTTGTTTGCATTTTCTTAGGAAGGCAAATTTGATGTGAGCATTTGTTTTGAGAGGGTTAGAATACAAGAGTAAGGACGTACTGCTAAGGCTGAGGCTCTGGTCAGACAGCATTTGAAATATTGTGAGCAGTATTGGGCTCTGTATCTAAGGAAGTATCTAATAAGCCTTGGAGGGGGTCCAGACGAGGTTTACAAGAAAGATCCCTGGGATGAAAGTCTTGACATATGATGAACGTTTGAGGAGTCTGGGTCTGTACTTGATGGAGTTTAGAAGGATGAGGAGGGATCTGGTTGAAACTCACAGAACACTGAGAGATTTGGATAGAGTGGACATGGAGAGTATGTTTCCACGAGTAGGAGAGACTAGAACACAAGGGCACAACCGCTGAGTGAAGGGGCAGCCCTTTAGAACTGAGGTGAGGAGGACTTTCTTTAGCCAAATGGTGGTGAATCTGTGGAGGCCTAGTCATTGAGTGTATTGAAGATGGAGATGGATAGGTTCTTGATTAGTAAGGTGCTCAACCGTAAAGGGGAGAAGGCAGGAGAATGGGTTTGAGAAACATATCAGCCACGATCGAAAGGCAGAGAAAAGTTGATGGACGGAATGACCTAATTCTGTTCCTATGTCTTATGTTCTTCTGGTCATTTGTTTTTGGGGAGCTCCAACAAAGAATTTTGGCTTCCAAATTGGGACAGGCAGAAAAATAATGGTCACATCAGATGAGAAAGCCCCCAGATTTGAGGTGCCTGGGCCTTGGCTGACTTCATTGTCATATTGTCATGCACCATCCAGACCCGCAGTAGAATTGTGCTGCTTTAACTGTGGATTACTGTCCTCATCATGAAACTAACTCATCCAGAAGACTGATTCCTGAGAATCTCCCAACAGGAACAACCAAAATGAATGCACTTTATTCCTGAGTCAATAAGTGTGGGGATAGAAAAGCACAGAATGTTAGACAGCATCTGAGGAGCAGGAAAGTCAGCATCCTTGGATGCTGTCTGACCTGCTGTGCTTTTCCACCTCCACATTTATTGACTCTAGCTTCAAGCATCTGTAGCCCTTACTGTCTCCAAGACACATGATTCCTGGTAGGGTGGAAATATCTTTCAGCTGTACTGGGAAGCAACTTGAAGACTCTTATGAGCTACTATGTTAAGGATGCTTAGAAATCCCTTAGCTTTCATGGACTTCCCTGGAATTGTACAGCTCATGTTTGACTCATTGTATCTACTCCAGCTCTCAGAAAATGCTATTGTGTTAGTCCTGTCCACCACCAACACTGCATTTTCCAGCCCAAACTCTGCTCCAATATTATTGCCCTGCGCATTTTTCCTTTTAGAATCTGTCACTAAATTCCTGAATTTACTTCTACTACCCTTTTGGGCATTGCACTCACTGATATAACTTTATAACTCACTACATTGAAAACATTCCCCTCCCTTCCCTGGTTACTTTACCAATTATTTGCAATTTTTAGTTATCCACTTTTTTTTGTTCATTCATGGGATGAGGGCGTCTCTAGCTGGGTCAGCATTTATTGCCCATCCCTAATTATCCAGAGGGTAGTTAAGAGACAATCACATTTCTGTGGGTCTGGAGTCACATGTAGGCCAGACCAAGTAAGGATGGCAGTTTTCCTTCCCTAAAGGACATTAGTAAACCAGATGGGATTTCCCCCGACGCTCAACAGTAGCTTCGTGGTCATCAATGGACACTTAATTTCAGATATTTTAATTGAATTTAAGTTACACATCTGCTGTGGTAGGATTCGAACGCGGATCCCCAAGACATTGCCTGGGTTTCTGGATTAACAGTCCAGCGATAATACCATCAGATCATTGCCTCACTTCTCAGCCAGTAAAAATTGTTTCTAATCATGCACTCAAATCAAAACACAACTAAAATGCCCTCAATGATAACACAGTCCTTTCTGTTCCAAAATGAACAATCCCAGTTTTTCTCTAACTGTATGTGTATTTTTTTATTCATTCATGAGATATGGGCATTGCTGGCTAGGCCAGCATTCATTGCCCATCCCTAATTTCCCACAGGGTAGTTAAGAGTCAACTACATTGCTGTGGGTCTGGAGTCACATCTAGACCAGACCAGATATGGATGATAGATTCCCTTCTTGAAGGACATTAGTGAACTAGATATGTTTCTCCAACAATTGACAATGGATTAATGGTCATCAGTAGATCCTTAATTCCAGAATAGTTATTGAATTCAAATTCTACTATCTGTCGTGGAACGATTTGAACCCAGGGCCCCAGAACGTTGGCTGAGTTTCTGGATTAACAATTCAGCAATAATACCACTAGGCCATTGCCTCCCCAATGGATTGGGGGAGCCAAGGGATGTGCAAGCATTCTCAACTTAGCTATTCATAAGATTCTATCCAGATTTCCCTACTGCATTAGGTCTCACTGTACGGCATTTAGTCTCAGAGTGAGAGCACCTGTTCCATTCCAGTCACTGCCCAAGTCACTTTCTTGACCCTTCAAAGACTGTTCAGGTTCCAGAACTTTCCAGAAAGGGGATTTTTCTATCACACCAGCCCACCTTTTGAATAAGACTTGAAACAGAACCTCCCAGATGGATGTTAAAATCCCATGGCACTGTATCAAAGATGAGCAGCAGATTTCTCCCTGGTGACTTGGCCAATAATCATAGAACACAGAACATAGAACATAGAACATTACAGCGCAGTACAGACCCTTTGGCCCTCGATGTTGCGCCGACCTGTGAAACCAAACTGAAGCCCATCTAACCTAAACTATTCCATTATCATCCATATGTTTATCCAATGATCATTTAAATGCCCTTAAAGTTGGCGAGTCTACTACTCTTGCAGGCAGGGCATTCCACGCCCTTACTACTCTCTGAGTAAAGAACCCACCTCTGACATCTGTCCTATATCTATCACCCCTCAATTTAAAGCTATGTCCCCTCATGCTAGCCATCACCATCCAAGGAAAAAGGCTCCCACTGTCCACTCTACCTAATCCTCTGATCATCTTGTATGTATCTATTAAGTCACCTCTTAACCTTCTTCTCTCTAACGAAAACAGCCTCAAGTCCCTCAGCCTTTCCTCATAAGACCTTCTCTCCATACCAGGCAACATCCTGGTAAATCTCCTCTGCACCCTTTCCAATGCTTCCACATCCTTCCTATAATGCGGTGACCAGAACTGTACGCAATACTCCAAGTGCGGCCGCACCAGAGTTTTGTACAGCTGCAACATGACCTCATGGCTCCGAAACTCAATCCCTCTACCAATAAAACCTAACACATCGTACGCCTTCTTAACAACGCTATCAACCTGGGTGGCAACTTCCAGTGATCTATACACATGGACAACGAGATCTCTCTGCTCATCCACACTACCAAGAATCTTACCATTAGCCCAGTACTCTGTATTCCTGTTACTCCTTCCAAAGTGAATCACCTCACACTTTTCCGCATTAAACTCCATTTGCCACCTCTCAGCCCAGCTCTGCAGCTTATCTATGTCCCTCTGTAACCTGTAACATCCTTCTGCACTATCCACAATTCCACTGACTTTGGTGTCATCTGCAAATTTACTAACCCATCCTTCTACACCCTCATCCAGGTCATTTGTAAAAATGACAAACAGCAGTGGGCCCAAAACAGATCCTTGAGGTACACCACTACTAACTGAACTCCAGGATGAGCATTTCCTATCAACCACCACCTTCTGTCTTCTTACAGTTAGCCAATTTCTGATCCAATCACCCCTCAGTAAACCTTTATCTGGCCATTGCCTTTAAAATTCATGATCATTAAAATTTAAAGTCACCCGGTAAAGTGCACCTAATTGGTGGCAAAGCACTTTAGGATGGAGAGAGTCAAAGACGGTGCTATGAAAACAAATGCCTTCCATTTTGCTTTGCTCCCTTCACCTCCTTGTTTTCATCACATCAGGATTCAAAATTGAGCAAAACAACCTCTCCAACCCTGAGATTAAAAGAGGGAGCACTAATCCATTCTACCATCCAGCCTCTCAGCATATTACATCAGTTATTAAATAATACATCATATTATTGCTGTAAAAGATTAAGGATTGTTTAATTATCTGTTGTACAGTGGTTTTTAATAATCTCTTGGCATTTTGCTCAATATTGAAGTCCTGAAGGAGCTCACATGAATTTTTACAATCTCCCTCTTAATTGTTTTATCTCTGGATTCCCATCTCCCTCAGGAGGTAATTATTATATTAATATGGTAAGGACTCTTAATATAATATTAGAAGGAATGGAGGTAGTAACTGAGTATTCACCCTTGCAAGATACTGTGTCGGGACAGCTGAACTGTAGACTGTGCTGGAAGCCTGCAGACTCTGTGTTTGTTCAAGCTGAAGGGTATTTAATGGACTGAGAAATTTTGTGCCCTGGTCTGGTGTCAAGGAGGGTGGTTGTTGGGTTGTTGCAATTATTACAAGGTGAATTGTTACTGGATCAGTAATCCAGGGTCCTTGACTAATGATCCTAAGACACGAGTTCAAATCCCACCACAGCAGCTGGGGAATTTAAAATCATCGACTTAATTAAATCTGGCATAAAAATGCTTGTATGAGTATTTTCACGATGGCAAAATTCACCAAAGATCCTCAGACAGCACCTACCAAATCCACAACC